CTAGTGCAGTGGGTTAAGCAGTACATTACTAACTACATGGTTAGTCACTTTAACCCACCAGCCGCTCTGCAGGAGAAAGATGAGCCTTCTGGAACCTGCAAACATTTTCAGTCTTGGAAACCCCAGGCGCAGTTCCCTAGGGTCATTATGTGTTGGAATCCACTTGGTAACAGTGAGTTTGGTTTCCTTGTACATGTAAACAAAACAAAATGATAGCTAATAATTGCCTCACCTTTTCCCATATGCTTAATGTGGTTATTTTGAAACTGGTCCCCAAATTAGTTGAAACTTCTCCTATGGAGAGGTGGAGGTCTATGATACGTGTCCTGGGATGGGTGACTGCTTTGCTAGAAGACCATAGAAATGACTTTGTGTAAGTTCTGAAGCTGATCCTAAGAGAAGATGCAGCTTCTACCCTGTTTGCTGGGACATTCAAGCTGTGGTTCTGAGTCAGTAGACAGTAAGTTGACTACCCTCAGGCTGCCATGCCATGAGGAAGCCAAGTCAAGCTACAGGAAGGGCTCACATGTGAGTACTCTGGTCAGCAGTCTAGTCCTTGCCCCAGTGCCAGACACAAGTGGAGGAGCTTCCAGATGATTCTAGTCTCCAGCATCATTGAGCCACCACCAGCCTTTGAGCTGCTCTCCTGGGCAAAGAGGCTTTCTGCTCTCATAACAATTTATAGTTTTGAAAGCCTACAGGGGGAGCTCTACTCTGTTCTACAGGGTTGCTATGCTTTGGGATCCACTCGATGGCGTGAGTTTGGTTTCTTATCATTAATTTGTTACTAAATATGGTCAAGCCCAGGGTAATTATCAGCTCCATTTTTTTCCTTGGAGGTATTTTTCTGGAGATCTCTGTCTTCTTGTCTCAATTTAGAGTGGATGCAAATCCATCAGCCTAGGACTTGCTGGGATGAGACATTATAGCAGGTTCATTAAAGTCAGGGACTTAAATTAAGTTCCCAAGGAACAGTTTTTATACAAAGTGTTCTGGGACATTGGCTCAATTTTTCACAGTGTGCAAGCGTTGTCATTATTTCCATTCTGCTTGTTCTGTTTCCATTAAACTACTGTTCCTGCTCCTCCTTAGCCCTCTTCCCTTTGCTTTCAGGTAAATTTGACAGTTTGGTGGGCTGTTTCAGAAAGCACAGTTCTCATGTGTAATACTGTTTATCCTATAAGCCAATATATTATTTACCTGAAAGCCTTGTTTTCTTGACTGCTGAGGATCCAAGTAAAGTGAAATCCTTGACAACTTCAAATGTTTCTTCATTGATCATGATGCTATCTATTGGTCCTGCTGTGAGAATTTTTAATCCTCTTTGCCCTCAACAAGCCCATTCACAAAGACCCTTCCTCTCACCCTGAGGCCACATTTTCTCCATCCAGTCCCTTGTCCATGACTGCCTTAGTTCCTAGACCCCCACTCCTGGTGTAGCACCTTATGTAGCTGCTCAAATGGTTGTAATTCAGTATCACATCTTATTGATCATATAGTTAGTGTAAGATTCTAAGTTTGAAACTACTTTCTCTCTGAATTTTGAAGGTAATAATCCATTGTCTTTAAGCTATCAATGTTACTTCTGAAAGGCCACTCTGGGTCTTGATCTGCTTTTGAAATATTTAGGCACTCTTCTTTATCCGACTGTTCTAAAATTTGATAATGATGTGACTTGATGCAGGGCAGTGGCTCTTCTAGCCAAAGGCTCTGTAGCCCCCACCCAGCGACCTTTCCTGCCTGGCTCTGGTAAGGTGAGGGAAGACACTGCCAGAGTCCACCTGTCAGGGTTCACTGGGATCGCCATGCTGCTGGGTAAGGAGTGAGCCCGTTGAGAAAGGGGAGGGTGAGGGAAGAGGAGGCAGATTTCACGAGCAGCAAGAGCCAGCAGTGGAGTGCATCCTCTGGACCCCAAGATCCCTGCACAGCTGAACCTCCTTAATCTAGAAGACAGCGTTGGCATCTGAGGGGTGGCAGAGAAGCAGTCACAGAAGGATGAGCCAGCGCATAAGATAGAGTAGTGGACTCCCAGAGCAAGTAAAGCTGAGCGATTTGGGGCAAGGGGGTATATGCAGGGTGCTAGGCTTGCTGACTCATTAGACTGGAGCTGAATGCCTTTGGGCTGAGGCTGACAGCGGAGTGGCATACCGTTTGGGCACTTAGTAGCAGCCCTAGAAGAACTTCATAGCATGTCCTGACTGAATAACCATTTCCTAAGCATTTCTCACCAGCATTGTAACCTATTAACTTCCTTAGTAAACCTTTTAATTGTGACCATTGCCTGTGAGCTGTGTGGCTATACAACCTAGATGGAAAAATTAGAGTATTGTTTGAGACAGAATACATTTGGTGATATAGATTGAATCGTGCACAGCCCCTCACCCCAACCCCAATATGTGTTATAATTGCTAACCTCTATGGCTGTAATTACAATCCCATTTAGGAATACCATATATTTTTGTGTATAAACTGGTTTTTCAGCACATTTTAAATGCAGTTTTGTGGTAAAATTAGGTGCCTTGGCTGATATTCAGGTCGGCTTATATTCAAGTATATACAGTAGCTGTCTTTATGTTAATGAGGCAGGAGCAGTGTGGGGTGTTTTGAGTCTCTCTTTGGAGATATAAAAGAAATTAGAAGGGGACAGAACAATGGAAACCATGGGGGAAGGGAGACTGGTTGGTGTGAGACATGGGAATAATAATTTATAATCTACCTAGGGGTCACGAGGTGGGGGGAAGAAAGGAGCTGATACCAAGGGCACAATAGAATGTAACTGTCCAGAAAAGAATGATAGCAACATATGTACAAGTATGCCTGATACAATTGATGTATGGTTTATAATAAGCATTGTAAGAGCCCTCGATAAAATGATTAAAAAAGAAAAGGTGAAAAAGCCCACCACCACCACCACCACCAAGAAGAAATGAGAAGCAGGAGGCCCAGAGAAGCCGAGAAGTGAGAGCAGCGTTGGACCCCATGCAGACTGCCTGGGCAAAGCTCCGAGAGAGAGACAAGGGCCGTGCTGCAGAGCGGACAGGGAGGAAGCTTCTCCTCCAGCTGGCAGCCTGGCCGACTGAACTGTGAGGAAATCACTGTGCTTGTGAAGGACCCACTTGTATTTCTGTTACAACAGCACTGGAGAGCCAAGACATTTGAAGGTCTTTTTAAATATCACTATTTAGGGAGCCGGTTTGATTTGGAAACTTACAGGTAAGTCCTCAATTCTCAGAACTTTTCTTTGTTTTCACTTAAGATTTCTGCTATAATCTTATATTTTATGTAAAAATGTTATTTTATTGTTCTTAAACAAACAAAAAACTCCACTAAACTGCCATTGAGTCAATCCAGACTCAGTGACCCTATATAGCATGTTTTTATTTCAGATTCAATATTGAAAATCTCTTTCTTTCCTTGCATTATCTCTGTAGCCTCTAAGTCTTCTTTTATCAGTTTGTTTTGACTCTCCCCTCTTCACCCTCCAACCCCTCCTTTAGGGCTCTTTCTCAAATGCTCAGTGGTCCTCTATTTCCTATGGTACTTTAGAGTGAGACAGATGGGTATTTTGGATGAGATTTGTCAATTGGGGACCTCCTTGTAGAAAACTCATCAGGGGGATGTAGCATGTTTATTGAGGGAGCCCCAAACATCACCACCACCACCCGCCCCCTGCAGGTTTCTTCTTCGTTTAGGATTGACAGTTTTACATTGGGCTGCAATCCGGAAAGTAAGCAGTTCAAAACCACCAGATGCTCTTCTGGAGAAAGATGAGGCTTTCTACTCCTATAAAGTGTTACAGTCTTGGAAACCCCCAGGAGCAGTTCTACCCTGTCCTATAGGGTTGCTGTGAGTCAGCAGTGACTGCATGGCAGTGAGTTTAGTTTTAGTTTGGATGTGGTCAACAGGGAGCATTTGGGAACCAAGAGGGGAACAGAATTGGAAGGGAGAAATCTTATCTTTCAGAACACAAGATAGGAACTATGCTTTATACTGTAAGTAAGGTGGCTGGCTACTCTTGTCCTTGTCTGTCCCTGGTTCTTTTTGCACAGAGTCTTAGATCAACCTAATCAATTAGAATCATGAAGTTAAATAAATGTCATAGGCTTTGGATCAGGGACCTCAAACTTTTTAAACAGGGGACCAGTTCACTGTCCCTCAGACCCGTTAGAAGGTTGGACTATAGTTTAAAAAAAACTATGAACAAATTGCTATGCACATTGCACATATCTTATTTTGAAGTAAAAAAAACAAATGGGAAAAAAACACCCTGTGGGCCAGATAAATGTCCTCGGCGGGTCGCATGTGGCCTGCAGGCCATAGTTTGAGGACACCTGCTTTATATAAACAGGCAAGATCTTCTTGCACCAGAGTTGCTGTATTAAAATCAAACCTTCCTATCTCCCACCTCTTCAAGAAAAAAACCCCCAAAACTCCACAAAACACACACACACACACACACACACACACACACACACAGTGCAACAATTGGGAAATTTGCCCAAATCAGTCTCTTTTCCCCTCCCACTTCACCATGAGTTTTTGCTTTGATGATGCCTCAGAATTCATTCAGGGTCCACGTTTGTTTTACAATAACCCAGTGAGTTGACAGACGGAGGCCTGGAATTCCGCAGCTTGTGCTAGTCTACCGAGGGGAAATTGCCATCAGTTAAAGGGTGGTGCGGTTACCCTAGCCCAATTTTGGAAAGTCTTTAGGAAAAAAAAAACTGAGTTAATTAGCATTCACCACAGGCACCATGCTTGTGTTGCACCATTTTAAGAACTGGATAATAGGAAAACGAGAAAAGAATATCGCAGCTTCTAACTTTTAAACTAATGCCTTACCTTTTAAAAGTGTAGATTTTTAAGGGAGGGATTTTACCTCTTACAAGCAAATACTTTAATATGGCTGAGCCCTGGTTTTAACTCATCAGGTAACATCATTCTGTTCTAAAATAATGTCAACAGCACTCATCCCGTAAATGGGAGTCATTTCATTTTACCTCGCCGATCTGCTTCATCCACAAATCTCTTCCAAGAAATTCCTGATGTAAGACCACGGGAGCTGAATTCAGATTAAAAGCCATGGTGTCACTTGTCTTTTCTTTAATAAAAGGCTGTAGGTCTGAATTTATCTAGAAGGGGCAGTGAAAAAAAGAGTCAAATCAGTACAAAGCATCTGTACTAGTATGTGTTCGTCTTACTCAGAAAGCACGTGGTCATGCAGTCAGAGATGAACTTTAAGGAATGCAGGTTTTAATTATACTTTAATAAGCAAAGAACATTTTAGGTGATTAATAGTAGCTGTTAACAGTCTTTAAAATGGTTTTTCATTTGGCCACTGCCTTAGGTCTATTTTTGGAGTGAAAAGTAAGGACTTTCGATAAGGATTTAATAAAGATAATTGTCAGGAGGGGGTGGAAGAGGAGCTGACACCAAGGGCTCAAAAGAAAATAAATGTCTAGAAAATAATGATGGCAACATCTGTACAAATGTGCTTGATATGATCGATGCATGGATTGTTCCAAGAGCTGTAAGAGACCTCAATAAAATGTTTTTTTTTAAAAAGAAAAACGATAATTGTCTAATAGACCAAGATTTTAAAAGCATATGACTTTAGAGATGTCTTATGAATTAAACAACATTTAAGAAACATCTTCAGTAATATTTTAAAATACTATATAGAAGCAGTAATATAGCAGGTAAGTTGGGGACATTTTATATTTCATCATGTCAATTCCAAAGGAGTTATTAAAACGAAAGCTTTTAATTTTATCCAGTATATTTCTAAATTTCATCAACTGTTTTACTTGTTTTACATAATTATAGGGAACTTGTAACAAAGATGCAAACAAACTGGTAGTGTTAAAAACTATTTGATAACTTATGCTTCCAAGTTGTACGAAAAGATAAATATTAACATGATTTAAGTAAGATATAGCTTCCTATCAAAATAGCACAACACAATAGTCAGCTATTACACCGCTTACATTAATTAAATAGCAATCCCTGCCTACGACAGGTAGATCTTAAGCACACAATAAGCTTAAAAAAAAAAAAAAAAAAAGCCCACAGACAAAAGCAGCTTATTAAATGGCAAAAGGTTTCTTGTGTATGGTGTGAGCTATTTCACTTACCTTATGACTCATGGCCATGTGCTTCCCGTACTGAAAGGCCATATCCTGAACCCCAGCGTCATGCTTTGCTAGTGCCATTGCCGCCTGGCAGCTCTTTGCTAGTAAGGCTCCATGGGAAAGAAAAGTCTGCTCCTTCCAAGTAGAAATGCCAATATCATCCGTGACATCGTTTTCCTAAAAATGCAACCAGAGCCAAGGTCACGGGCTACAGAATAATTTGTTTCCACGTTTGAAGAAGAAAAAAGTTAAGAAATGAACTATTCAAGACACTCAGTTATTCCAGTGAGACAGGCCTGAAAGAGGCTGAAATTTAGCTCTAACTGAGAAAAGTAGGAGGAAGGGCAATGGGGAAAAAAAATTGCTAAAGCAAATGAAAAAATTTAAGGTAGGGAGCCTATAGTAAAATAAATCATAATATATATCATAAGGGACAAGGCAATAAATCCTAATATATATCATAAAGGACAAGAAACTTGAACCTCTAACTCATAAGTTTCCTAACTTATTGGCCTTATGTCCCCTTTTTCAGAAAAAATAAGATAAATAAATAAATTGCTTGGTGGCCCCTCTGGCAATACAAACTATCATTTCAGTGCCCCTCTGAGGGGCAGCGGCCCCAACTTGGGAGACACAGCTCTTAATGAACCTCCTCCCATATTCACTGTATTTGCTCTTGAATGCAAGTCTCCAAAACACAAGAAACCTATAGTCTTTCATTTCGGTGTAAATGTCAAGGGAATGATGAAGGCACTGGGGTTCTCCTATAATCAATTAAGTAGAAATCAGTACTAGAAAAATCAGAGAGGGAGTAACCCATTATAATTAGATGATTAGATTCCATTACTCATCAAGGTCTGTGACTGATGTGCTAAGGGAGGATATAACTATAGTTTTTTCACTTCAGTTTTTAAATGGTGGAAGTCATTGTAGCATCTGTACACACACACACACACACACACACACACACACACACACACCTCTATAATAATACTAACAGAAATATATTGTAAGCCCATAGGCAATTTGAAATTTTCTAGTAATCACGTTTAAAAAAGTGAAAATGAAAAATAAAATAAAATAAAAAAGTGAAAATGGGCTAACTCAATCTTAACATATTTTAGTTATTCTAATATATCTAAAGTATAAAAACATATAGTTAATGAAGGCTAACCTAAATATAATGAAGACTATTATGCTTTCAAAGTCAGTGTGTATTTTATGCTTGTAGCCCCCCACTCAGCACAGTGGGTTCAATAGCCACCAGGAGCTAGTGACTACCTTACCGGGCAGCTTTGTTTTAGCTTTCGGAGGACAAGAAGAATGAAGCAAACATAGAAAACAATGTTCATTGTTGGGTTTAATTGGCCAGAACTCATCTGGATGGACTCAGCAGCCCCAGACATGTTACTTCCTGCCCTCTACCCCAGCATGTTTTGCTTCACTTATATCGAGGGCTACACAGAAAACAAGGACCACTGAAAGGTAAACTCAAATTTACCCCCATCTATTACACCAACCTGAGGAGAAGCTTCTGCCCCAGTCAGATCAAATTCTCAGTTTCATTTCATTAAGCTTTTTCACAGTAACAACACTCACAGAAACAGTTGCAAATAAGCACCATGGTATATACTATTTAGTCATACGACCAAGTCTCTGGGTAGTGCCAAGTTACCACCACAAAGTGAGAAGTCGGAGAGTGTGTCCACAGAGACCTAGAGGCACGTTCACAGGGCCTGCTAATTGACTTCCAAAAAATCCGCAACTGAAAGATCTACGGCACAGTTTCACCGCGACGACAGTCGCTTTGAGTCGGAAGTGACTTGAAAACAAGTGTGTGTTCTTTTCCCAGAAAAGAGAAATGAGAGAGACAAATTATAAGAACCGAAGAAGAAAAACTACTTTGTAAAGCATGAAATAATAACATATTTGATTTGAAATTTTGGAAATGCATTTAAAAGAAATGTGGAAGATATGTACAAGTCCTAGATAAAAGCCACATAGTCCCTTCACCTATACTTGACAAAATTCAGCACTTATTCCTTATGAAAATAAAAAAATCTCCGCATAAAACAGAAATAAATGTGTCTTTCTTTGACGGGGAACCCTAGTGGGGTAGTGGTTACCTGTTGTGCTGCTAGTCACAGTTTGAAACCACCAGCCGCTCCTTGAGAGAAAGACGGGGCTTTCGACTCCCGTAGTTACAGCCTTGGATACTCACAGGGCAGTTCTACCTTGTCCTACGGGACAGCTGAGTCGGCATTGACAGTGAGCTTGGTTTTTAATTTCTTTGATATGATAAGTGTGTGTCTGTATATGCATGTATACTCAAAAATCAGCAAATGCTTTAAGGGGAAATACTAGAACCTTTCCCACGAAAGTCAGGATAAGATAAAGATACTTAGAATACAACTGCTATTTACCAAGGTAATGAAAGAGACCACAGACAGACAGACTTGAAAGTTAGAAAGGAGCTTATTTGAAGACACTATAACCATGTATCTGAGGGGAAAAAAACAATAGAATCAACCTAAAAAGACTACTGCAAACATGAAGAGAATTCAGTAAATCAGTAGTGTATAAGATTACTATAATATGTAATTGGGGGGGGGG